ACCCAGGCATATAATAATTAAAATTCCAGAAATCCAATATAAGAACAGAATACTAAAAGCCATCAGAGACAAGAAACAGATCACTTACAAGGGAACACCCATCAGAATTACAGCAGACTTCTCGGCACAAACCATCAAATCACAAAGAGTGTGGGGGGAAATAATTCAAGGTTTGAAAGATAATAACCTCCAGCCAAGATTGATATATCCTGCACAACTGTCCCTAGAAATTGATGGAAAAACAAGGTGCTTCCAGGATAAAGAGGAACTAGGGGAATTTGCAACCACCAATTCAACTCTACAGAGATTACTGCAGGATATTCTAAAAAAGGAAAGTACCAAGACTTCAGAAACAGTGGCAGAGAGGCCACAATGAATGGAGCAGAAAGCGAAATGAAGAAGACAAACTGATAACAAACGACAGAAAAAGAGCTCAACAGAAATGAGGCAGAGAAGATCAGAAGGTAGGAACAGCTATTTTGGAGAAAACAAGACATTATAATAGCTAGTGCTGATTTAGTATCATCTTGCTTTCAAGTCCCATCAAGCTTTTATTCTTCTGTCTCCATCAGTCTTAACAGGTTGTATCTTATTGGATTTTATTAAATGTGATAATATAAGCAAAAACTTTTATAGACAAGGAGATTATACAGAAACCATTGTTCATTTTCTGATAGTTGGTTCTAAATACCCTGTAATACTGTCATTCTCTTAAATGGTTTTACATTGTCTTGATATGTTTCGTGCTACAGTATACGAAGTTATACTCAAGGATTTCAAGGAAAGACACACTATGGTAACTATTTTTATGACAGGATATCTTGTGGTGAAAACTATTTTGCTTAAATGGTTATGCTTTGACCTGCGCTGTTTTTTGTTGTTATGCCTTCTTTTATCTCAGTCTCCTTTTTTTAAATTACTTTATTTTTCTCTTTTTAATTAAGGGAAAAATAAAAAAAATAGCAGGTTACATTATAGTAACCCACTTTGATTTCCTATTAACTTGATTTAAAACCCTGTATAGCCCTCACCATCTTGCTTTGACTGATTTTCCTCTATTCTTCTTTGCTTGATAGTACCAAGTTCGAAAGTATAGGCAACAACTGTAAAGACAATAAGATTCATTATGACACCCATTCTGGTTTACTATTATCTTCTTTTAAAGTTCTGTAATGTCTCCAATGTTTTGGTTTTCTTGGTTTTATTCTTTACTGTTTTGTTCAATTTTATTATAACTGATGATATAGGCAATTCTTTTTAAGATAGCAAGTGCAGTATGGTAACCATTGTTGATCACCTTGTATTTTGTGTTTACATTATCTATTATGTCCATCCTTTTGATTTGACTGACTGTGTTCTGTTATGTCACATTTGGTTTTACTCTCTTCAAAAAAAAGTAAGAACTGTGGGAGTAATAAAACCCAAAATGTGTAATAGTCATTGTACAAAAGAAAGGAAAAGAAAGTGCTCTAAAAAATATAACTGCATATATATTTAAGTGTGTAAGATAGATAACCATATAATTGAGTTTTGTTGGATCATTGAACAAAACTGTTTGCAGTCTCACTTTTTGAAAGTCTACTTCATATGCTTTAATTTTGTATCTTGAACAACTATTTCTAAGATAACAATATGTAATGTATTAACTAGTGATTTCCTATTGTTTTTTCTGAAATTCTGTGTAACTTGTACCCTTTTTCTGTTTTTTTTCCTTTTTCTCCTTAAATAAAAAAAGAAAAAAAAACTAGGATTAGAAGTACCATTTGACCCAGCTATTCTCCTAAGTATCTTCCCACAAGAATTAAAACTTCGTACCACTGTGATATATGTGCACTCATGTTTATAGCAGCATGGTTTCTAATTGTTAAATTTTAAAACAACCCATCAATCAAGGTTTGGATAAAAATATATGATCTCTTTATACAATGGAATATTCCTCAGCTATAAAGAAGGATAAACTTGAGCCATTTCTAGATAAATGGATGCAACTTGACATTACACTCATAAGTGAAATAAACTGGACACACGTGTAAATATCACACCGTTTCTCTGGTGTGAGACACTGAATGTGTAAACAAGGACCAAAGTGTAAAAAAAATATTGTGAAATAGGAAGAAATTCTTTAAAAGAACGAGCTAGGGAGTGGAGTGAAAGGAAAGGCTAAGTGTCCATACTCTTTGATTGAAATAAATGGGACACACGCTTAAATGTCACACTGTTTCTCTGGTGTGAGAAACAGAAAGGGTAAATAAGGACCAAAGTGCATACTGGAAATTAGGAAGAAAATATTCAAATGGAAAGGAGAGCAAGAGATGGGTGATGGGGAAACGAAGGAAAAAGAAAACGAAGAAACAAGGCTTTTGTAAAGAAAGAAGGTAATAGGGGTTGAAGGGAGAAAATGGGATTGAGGGAAACAAGTAACAAAATATATCATGTACAAACTCTCTCTCATCAATGTGACCATCATGTATATCTAAAATGTACCAATAAAATTAATTTTTAAAAAGTGCAGTGAAGTCGGTTTTACTATTTTTATTTTCCAAAATCCCTGCTAAGCTTCTGAAGCACTTTTCTCTCATGTTTTCTGGTTCAATTTCTGCTTCACTAACATATAAACTGTTGAGCTGATCACCAGTCATCCTTTCAGGCATCAGAGAAAGCCACATACATGACCCAGTACCCTGAAGTGGTTGTGGCTCTGGAGTGTCACAAACCACTCCACTCCATCTTCCGCAGGCTGGATGTGGATACCCATATGCTTCTTCGCAGAATCCCAAGACATTGTGTTTTCCACAAGAAATCTCCTGCTCCAAACTGCCCTGTGGATCTGTTTCCCAGGCACACTTAGCTCCCACGTCTCAGCGCAGCCACCACCTCATCCCCACTGTCAGGAAGCTCACACACCCAGACCTCAGGCTCCCTGGGCAGGACAACCAGGCTGCAGCAGCTGATGGGGGAGCCCATGGAGCCTGCTCAGGGCCTCGCTGGGCTCTGAGTTCCCCTTGTGGTAGCCATAGCCAAAGCGCTGGTACAGGACACGCCCTCGGCTGGTGAGGCTCTAGTCCCAAGCCTGGTCCTCATGCTTCACCACGACATAGAACATTCCCTCCCTCCTACTCACTGAGCAGTCTGGTGTTAGATCACAAGGAAACCTTTGCATCAAAACGCAGTCCCGGTATCACGTGAAAACGCTAACCTTACGTCACCAAGCAGACACATCACGGCCTAAGCATCGTGCCAAGAAGCAGGACTTATGTCACCACGCACATTTTACGACACAACGCAAAAACGCAACAAATGACGTAAGCATGACGTCAAAATATAGGCGTGTCCCTCCAGGAGTCTAATCGGCGCCATTTCCGGAAGCCGCAGCTGCAAGCTAGCTAGGGGACTAGGATACTCGCCAAACAGGATTCTATGCTGGCAGGCTGTGGGTATGAGGCCTACAAGGATGCTCTTCCGCCACTTGATGCTTTTCTCTTGCTGTTTTCAGAATTATCTCTTGTTCTTGTACTTTCAACCAAAGACTATGCCTCATAGAGGGGATCCTTGGTCAGATTCGCTAGGCCTCCTTTGAGCCTTTTGAACTTGGTTGTCCGTATCTTTCCTAAGACTTGTAAGGTTTCAACAGTTAAGGGATTGGATGGTATGTCTGTTTCCTTCTCTTCTCTTTCTGGAATATCCATGACACAAAAGTTTGCTCGCTTAATGGCGTCCTTTATTTTTTTTTTTTTTAATCATAGATTGTTCTCAGGCTGCTTGGCTACTTGTTGAATGAAGACCTAGGATGGTTGGGAGACCGGGGGTGGAGGGGGACTCAGCTGCTTCCCAGGGGTCTAATGAGCCAGGCCAGCCAGGAAAGGATACTCATCAGCTTCCTGGGGGTGGGGGTGAGTGGCGCCCCTCATGCTTCTCTGGGTCTGTGGGCTGAGTCACTTAAGCACTTGTGTACATTTTATAATTCATACTACATGTGATTGATAACTTTGAAAATGTTTTTTGTAGCTTTTGTTTCCAAGCTACAAACTGCAAAAGTACTTGGTAGTAAGTCAAACAGAAAGGAAACATCACTATACAAAAATACTGTTTTACCACCACCAAAGGAATCAGAGTTTGAACACTCCCTGTCTTTTCCATTTTCACACTACCAGCATTATCACCACCAAAACAAAGTTAAAAAATACACGTATATCTTCAGGCAGTCAAAAGGTCAATTGCTTAATTCCAATGAATGTTATAGGTAGATTCCTGGTAGCTGAAATTGGCAGGTATGGGCATGGAGGGGCCAAAGAAAAATGCTGCATTAGGCTATAGCTGTATAATTCTGCTCTGTCTTCTTCCCGACTATAAAAGAGAATCAAATCATAAAATGGAGGGTATTGAAGGAATTGATAACACGAATTGTGTGGACACATTCATGTAAGTTTCTAAAACAACGTATGATTCAATTTAAAGCCAAGAGATTATCTTTTTGAAACAGCCCATAGAATTTTCTATCACCAATTTACTTACTGATCCTGTAAAGCCTATCATCACTTTTAGTGGGATTTTTAATCCTACTTCTTTTTCTACTTTTATGCTCTACTTCCACCAATACTGAACAAGTACTCAGACGTAATGCACTGCTTCCCATTTCTAAGCCTTTGTTCATTCCTCTGCCTCTCTGTCATTCTCCATCCTTCTTAATACCCACAGTAGGGAAAACTGTCCCTTCTTCATAATTTTTCTTTGTTCCTACAAAATACTGATCTGCTTGCATATCTCTCTCCTATAGCCTATGTCTGGTCCTTCAGTGACAACAACCAGATTTACTCCTGCCTGATTTATCTCTGCAGTACTTAGTGCAGAATTTATCATGGTTTTGGTAGGCACACAGTTCTGTTAAACTAATACAAAAAACAAAGTTTTTACGTACCTGCTATATTTTTAAAATTCAAAATTTTAATTGAAGATTTTGTAACATGCAAATACCGATGTCCTATTTGTGAAAAGACACTTACCATCAGTTATGGCTTCTCCTTTCAGGCTCTTGATTCCTCTGGGCATTGCATTTCCATCCAGGTAGAATTCAATTATACCATCATCCAGGATAATTAGAAGATGAAGCCAAACACCTTCTTCTAAATATTTCATGACTGTTGTCTTGGCAATGTATGTAGCATTTGATCCCAAAGTTTTATAATGAAGGGAAAGTGCCACATGGGATTCATTAGTTTGAATTTTTACCCCATAGTAGATGCTTCCATTACCATCATCCTTTGCTATGACAAACCCATTTGTTCTACCATTAGGCATTACCCAAGCTGAAAATGTAAAGTTTACAATTGTGTTGTTCCTGGAGGGATGGTATTTTGGATTAACAGTCCCAAATGATCCCTCTAGTCCACTGAAGTACAAAGCATCTGTTCCGCTATGGTGACGTCGCATGTGCGGTTGTAACTGTACAGTGTTGGGGAAATTTCCAACCAGTAGAAAGTCCACTACGGGTGGCAAACCAGCAGGAAATGCACTGGACAGTATTTCCCAGCCTACTCGAACATCACCAAACACGCCCTGCTGCCTCAAAATGGTGAAGTTGGTAATATAAGACATATCATCTTCTGACAGGACATCTTCTGCCACTTCTCTCTCTAAACACTCTGGGTCCAAGATGAAAATCCCAAAGGGATCATCATTGAATGGAATCATCACCGTCACCTGCAGGTTAGTTTCTGCTAGCTGGCCCCCAGGACCTGGGGAGCCACCTATAATTAAAAAAAAAAAAAGAATGAAAAACTAGACTTTGCAGTACTTTCCATCTGAAGTATTTTAAAAAGGAATTTGTTTAGCAGACAAACTTCTAACACTGTCAGTTAAAAACACTATTACCAGAAGGCCTTCATTACATCTTAGACCCATGATATTGAATATCATTGATTCATCATAAGTTTATTAATAATCAGTCAAACCTGAAAATAGTGTACTAACTGGAGAGGTTTACTTTCTGTGCTGCAACCCAAATTGATGGGGGAAACTGTTTGTGTCACAAAGGCCAAACTGTAAGCTATGATGAACATGTATTTCTTAATTTCCATTAGTGTTTTATTGGAAACACTATATTTGGTGTGGAAAAAGTTTACTTACAAGTTTCAGGATGGATGTAAGCCTCTATCCATAAAAACAAACCTAGCTAACACCACAAAATGAACGTTTGGTGTTGAGGGTTCATCTCCATGGCCAAGAGTGTACTTAGCACGCACAAGGCCCTGAATTCTATTCTTAGCACCGAAAGAACATCCTTATCAAGAAGGATACTTTGTTACTTAAAATCATAAAATCAGGATTCACCTATCAACTGAATTTTTTATATAATTGTACTGAAGTATAAAATACAAAATTTTGGTTGTAAATAAGAGATGCAAAACAAAAAACACAGTACCTGAAATGTTTATGAGCTTTAGAACAAAAAATTCATTGAATTCAGGAATACTGTCTGGAAAAGCATGGAGAATGACTGGTTTCATTCCTTCTCCATCCATGAACTGAATGGTCCCTGAGGTTTCGTAGAACTCCTGTCCGGGCTGCAGAGCAGAGTCATTCTGAAACAGCTGCCAGCCCACAGACACATTTCCAAAGCATCCTCGGTGCCTCAAAATCCTATAAAATAAATTTCATAGTTGTTTTTTTGAGCAATGTTTAAATAGTGAATTCAACTTCAATGAGAGCATTCTATATTGTGTTTATCATCTTTAAATGAACTCCTCCTACCAGGAAGAACTTAATGGAGAGGGAAGCATGAGGTGGAGTTTTAAATAACAAAAGCAGTCATAGCAGCCTTAGTCTTCAAATTCCACACTGGAATTCTAAGCTGAACTGAAAAGTAGTTTGATGATAACTAGCAATCGTGTTTCAGAAGCAATATTTAGGGTGAGAATAGTCACACATCTGAGAAACATCTTCATGAAGTCTTTAGAGATAATCCCATTTTCTTGGTCTTAATGAAGATGGAGTGAGGAGGGTGAAAAGAATGATTTCTGCTTATCAGCTAAAGGGTTTTGGTTTCCATAGTTTTTTAGTAGATAAATGGCAGCAGCATAAACAAAATTTAATATTAATTTAGACAGCTAACTTTAAACTCAGTTCCTGGTCAATTTTTTAAAATTTTCAAGTATTATCAGTATTTCTAATTTTTCACATACTTACTTTAATCATCTAATTTTAACTTTCCTTAACCAAATGTACTTACCAAAATGCATTAGTCTTTCCTTCTTCTACAGTCTTGTCTATGGGTTCCAGAGAAAAAATACCATTTGGGTCATCATTAGCTTCAATTATAACTGTAGCTATTCCATACTGATATACTACTGTATCACCTAAATAAAAAAGAGATGTCAAAGTAATAAAAAGTAGCTATCTTATTATTAAGTTAATATTTTTAAACTAATACTTTATAATTATGGGCAAATGTTTCATAAGAATTTCCTTACTGAAGGTCACACAATAAATACAAAATAGTGCTCTATTTCTCTAAAGATATTTATAGGAATATATTTATATATCTTGCATTAGATACAGAAGAAAAGATGACTAAATAACTTGAAATCGTTCCTATTTTGTCTTTTGAGAAAATGTTCAGTTACAGAGGAATTATTTCATTGGAAAAGAAATACGGTATTTTTCTTCACAATGAGAATATTACTTAATATTCTGAATAGCTTAATCTGAAATAAAAAAGTTTCTTCTGACTTTACATTTCTGAGATATATAGTTTTATTTCATTAAAATAATGAAGAATTATCCTATAAGTAAAAATACTCCTGTTCATATCAGTTGGAATCAGTGGTTCCAGTGTATCTTTTATTTATACAGGATCTATGTTTTTTTGAAATTGTGATTTTTTTTTTTGTGGCCATTATTGTGGACAGTCGAATTTTTCCTTACGATAGTTTTTGGTTTTAATCTTGGGGCAGAGTGGTATTTTTAGTTAAATAAACCATGTGAAAAATGAGCAATAGAATGAGGAGAAAGTAAAAGCAGATAGGAAAACACATCACGAGGGAGAAAGAGGTAAGAATAATGATGGGAAATAACAAAACAAAAAATGATATCTCTTTTTGTCTGCCTCTCCTAAATGTCTGCATGAAACACACCAGAAGGCCAGCACTACACGGGGCCTGCTGGGCCGGGCACCTCTGGGAGGGAAGCTTGGAGCAGGACGAGGAGCCACAGCACAGGGGTTTGGCCCAGAGCAGGAAGTTAGAACCCTGCTGGGGAATCACACAACCTCACTGTGAGAAGCCAACAGAGGCAGGGAGAGAGAGGTTAAGTACACAGGAAATTCATCAAACCTATAAATGTATGAAGGATAATGGGAGCTGGATTTACTACTGGAGGAGGGAACGAGGCATGAGGAAAGGGAGGAAACTGAACAGAACCCTGTGTGTGGTGTTCTAATAGCTCACAGAATATGAGAGGTAAGAGTTGCTTGTGTGTACACACATACATACGCATCATCTGTCCCTCATCTCTGTACACCAGCGGACCCTCAGTAACAGTAAGCACACCTAGTACTCAGACCCTAGTTACCGAACTGCATTCTTCACTATGAAAAATCAGGACTCTTTGGAGAAATGGTTGATTTCAGGATTGTATAAAAAGATTGTGTAAAATGCTCAAAGAATAACAGACCTTTCAAAAAGACAAGGGAGTCATCTTACCACTGGTTAAACCTGCAACAGCGTGACCATGAAAATAAATGATAGTAGTAAAAAATACCCCTCTATATGAGGTAGAAATTGTGAGTCCATACTGATAAATGTATATGTGAAAAAAACTGAAAGGTTAATGAGTAACGGGATATTTACATAGATCCAAAATAATCCCCCTACAAATGACCATTTTAAAAATATAGATGAAAAGCCTAGAAGCCATCACTTTAATGGTGATCAAAGTGAGTATCATAATAAAGAGACAAATCAAAATCTTGTTAGGACTGAAGGGATTTAAAAACATGGAATCACTTTTGTTGAATTTATACCAAAGAACCACTCAAGACTGACATGATCAGAGGGATATTACAATGTAATATTATACATGTACCATTATACAAAATACACAAACTACATTTTATATACAAAATACATGGTAATATACAATGTAACAGTATATGAAATACACAAATTTAGGCCTAACTAAATTTATAATATCCCATATTACAATGTAATAGTATACAGTGTAATAATTGTATAATATTATACAATGTATAATTCAGGAAAGGATCAATTTGCCAGAAAGGGCATTATTGGAGAAATTGAATGGGGTTCAGATAACGATCGCATCCACATTAATGACCTGATGGTTACATGGCAGCAATGTGGGAAAATGTCCTTGTCTGTAGGAAATATCCACGTAGGTCTTCAGCAGTGATGGAGCATTGTATCTTTAACTCACTATCAAAAGGTTCAGGAAACAAAGTTCCTTATTCTTAAAAGAAATAAATATCAAAACAGGCTATGTTGCTTCCAATTTACTAAGAAGGGACCAAAACATCTTCAGGGTGCTAACAACGGAGTGCAAACATCCTGCTTTGTTTCTAGCACAGACAAGAAGGGTGAGCACATCCCTCCCCTCTGCAGCTCGCATTCCTGTAAGGCGCTATTGCTTAGAGAACCACAAACAGCCAGGTGGAGTCAGCGGCCTAAAACATGAAGTTTCCTAGCCAAATGACGGGAAGAAAAGGGCTATAGATACTGACCTTTCAAAATGCTGGGTAACTAGGCAAAGCCCAGGCAGGCCTGTTCCCAGGGCCAGTTGATTTTGACTGAAGATTTCGATCCCTAATAGAATAATTTCCTAATTCTCACCCATTGTGAAAAAGGTATAAAATAATACCATAGTGTGTGCATGGTACATTTTCACACTATAGTCTTTATCCCATTCCTCAGGGAAGGGATGGAATACATAACTGTGTTCTTGAACATTTACCCATGACAGTACCGTACTCTCTGGCACAGCTATGGGACAATACTACTTCGTGTCATCTTTGCAAAGCCCTGAAGCAACAGACCTGTCATAACAATCACATGCATTTACCTGTTGAGTTAAACAGGATTATATAGAAGGGCTCTTCTGTTTCTGGGATACCATCTTCATTAACATGCACGGACACACTCTGCTCTCTACTTCCAACGTCAAACACGAGGGTTTCTCCTTCAGTGGGAACGAAGTCGCCCTCTTTTGCAGTGGCCTTCCCATCCAGGGTGGCATACTGGACAGAGCAGGTCACATCCACAGATCCATTTCTGAGGACGGTGAAGTTAGCAGTGTCCCCTTCCTGAACCCGCACTACACGAGGTTCTGCAATACGCAGAGAAGGAACAAGTAAGCTTTGACGACTCCATCTATGAACCCGCAGTCACTCCTGCTGCTTTCTCTGTGCCATCGGAACCAATGCCCGTACACCATCTGTGCCTCCAGTCAGCTCTTTCTCCAGCTATGACGTGAGTCCCCATGCTGACTTCATGAAGCCACTGCCTGCTACATCCAGCTTTCTGGTCAGTCACATACTGTTGAAACCTCTGCACCTGACTGCACAGACCTCATTTGGAAACAGACGTTATAAGTTCCTTTAGAACAGGCTCGCATACCTTATGTTCTATTTTTGTCACAGCACTTGGTAGAAGGCTGAATAACTGACTACTTTGTTAACAACACTTTGTTAACAAAGGCTACTACTTTGTTAAGCAAAGGCTTAAAGGAGAGATCAGGAAAATTCAAGAGATTTAAAAAGTCCAATGCCAGTAAACTGACCTTTATACAAATTACAGAAAACATAAGGATTTAACAAAGAATTAAAAATCAGTTAACTCTCATAAATAAAACTAAAGGTGCCTCCAATGGCAAAAGATAGGTTCTAAAGATAGGCAGAGTGAAAAATGGAGAATTCTTAATTACTGTGTCCATTAAATCTTGGATACTACAGAAAGTAGCCATCCATTAGGTACAACAAGTTGCAAATTGTCTACACTCTGTGTTCACAGTGATGGGTGCAAGAATGTTCATTTTTGCACAAAGGAAAAAGGATATCTCATATAATAACCTGAAAGGACTAACTGAATGCAGCACTTACAGCATTTTCTTTTTGCTTCTGAAGGTCTCTAAATTTTTTTAAATTTCAAACTGATTAGCAATCATCAAATGAACCATGAAATCCTATTTAAATAAGCATTGAAAGCACTTCACTGAAAAGATTCAATTGAAAGCTATTTAAAATACACCTGTTGTTAAAGAAAGAAAGATGTAAACTGAGTCAAAAATGGTAGCCGTCCTACCTGCAAAATAAATAGGGTCATCGTTTCTGCTAATCCTCAGAGTTGCAGTTGTTTTATTTCCCACTTTAGCTCCGCCAGTTGCATTAAGTAGCATAATGGTAAACTCTTCCATTTCCTCTGGAATCTTTGGGAAAACGGTACACATTTTAAGTCCAATCATTAATCCATAGAATTAAATTATCTATTCTTAAACTATTGTGCTAATGTGCACTTCCATGTTTAAGGCAGAAGCTTTCTACAATACTCCTGTAAGATTCAGAGCCCCCCAAATTATTGAAATGTGCATTCACTTAAGCAGCCACTTCATTCTGACTAACTATAAAATGTAATGAAAATGTAGATGTTTGGCCTTAGACTGGCTAAAAACAGATACATCATGTTATGGATTAAAAACTGGTGGTCAACTTAATGCCAGATAGAATCACCATGATGCTGAGCATAGCTGTTCCACATGAGGAAAGTTGCCAGCATAAATAGAGATGTGGAGGAGAAGTTATTGTGTTGAGGCACTGTGGGTTCTCCTATGAGTTGCTCTTTGAGCCATTGGTTCTCCTGGAGAAGCTCTGGTCCTCACATCAAGCATTGCTTCCTGGCTCCCGAGGGGGAGACATGTGCCGCTTGGTCTCCAGGATGAACTCATCACACTGACTTCCTGGCATGTACTTGACTGTGCTTGTCGGAGGAGGAGCTTGGGGACTCTGTGTTGCTGAGGATGGCTGTGGTGCTTTGCAGGGCAGCCCTGGTCTTTGTTGTGAGTGAGACTTTTCGGCTCCAGCATAGAAACCTCAACCTACCAGCACAGCTCCTTCTTCCTGCTGGCATGGACTTCCTAGCTTCCACTGCTGACCTTTGGGCCTTCCCAGCATGAACCCATAAAAGAGAATAGTGTGAGTCCTTCTTGTGGGCTCTAGACCTCCAGCTGGATTCGTGGGAGGCAATGTCATGAGCTCTGAGACTTCATCTGGACTCATGTGGGACATTGCTTCGGAATTCAGGCCCTTGGCTACATATTCTATGTCTTTGGTGTTGTGGATAGATTTCCTGCACTTTCTTGTGTTAACTCTGGGTGACTATCATAAAAATCATATTATAAATTCCAATTCCCAATTCTACTTGTTCTTTGCACAACCCCTAACTATAACACATCACAAAGATTCTACGCTTTCTGTATGACAATGGGAACTATGTTGTTTAGAAGAAAAATAAAAAATGGAACAGAAATGTAACTTTCTGACAGATGCAGCAGAGTATTCCTTCCAACAGTCTCCAAGCTCAGCCAGCACCCAAGGGCCTCTTACAAAGTCCACTGAGCTTAGCAAGAGTGTGCATGAGGGCTTTAATCTCTACCTCTTAACAAGTGAGATTCCCACAACACAGAGTCTGAGTCCCCAACTAGAGAGTTTCTCTCTTACATCATCCATAAGCAACAGTCCTCACCCTACTCCAGAACTACAAAGTGCTGGACTGTCCTTTGAGGGCCAGGCTTGCAAAGGGTCCCAAGTGCTACCTTCGAGAGAAAGGTGGATTCACCACTATTTCCATGTTGTTTCTCTCTACTCTCAAGCCCTGAAACCCCACCTGGGTCCGTGGTCCTTGTGGCCTGGGGTCCTGACTTGGAGCACATCCCAGGTAAACAGCCTTTCTCCAGAGGCCTAACACAAGCCAGGGAGACACCGCTCCCACAGCTGTGAGTCCCTGCTATGTGACACATCAGTGGTCACTGACCACCATCAGTTCTCACAGTGAAGCAGGGAGGCCAAAAACCATCGCCCTTTTGCCCTATAGTGAGACATCACAGAATCTCTTCCCACATATTTAATAAAAATGATAACAGCAGCAAAAATAATAAAAGTGGAGAGTGACCTCTGCCACATTTACCTCATCTGGAAGGGAGTAGATGGTGATATTTTTTGAAAATTCCTGATCGCCAAAGAAAACAGTCCCTTGTACAGGAAATACATCTTGTGTAAAGTCGGGGCTAACTACCCATAATACGCTAACATCACCGAAGTTGCCTCGATTTCTTATTACACCGTAAACAGCTGCAAAGTACAAACATAATGTTTTAATAAGCACAAACATATACACTTAACTTTAAGACAAATAAGTTACTCAAAATAAAACGACATCTCTTTTCACTAAAAGCCAGTTATCTGTTCAGCACATTTTCCAAGGTTCGTATAAAATACAGATACACTAGCCTACTCAGCCTTCTGAAGTCATATAATTAACAACAAAAATGAACTGAATTTTCTTAGGGTACTGGGGATTGAACTCATGACCTCATGCTTGCCAGGTAGCAGGCACTTATACCACTGAGCTAAATCCCTGGCCCCTCAGTGTAGAATTTTTAAGTCATATGGCACAGGAACAGAATGGTGAATAGTTCTAAGTATGATAAAATTCTATAATGGTATCTGAAAGCAAGTTTCACTTGCACACTCAGTGATTTTCATACTCAGAAACTGCTTTAAAAGTTAAATATTTCTCATTTTCTGCCACTGAAATAGTTTCCTAGCAGTAACACTTAGTTTGAATGTTTTTCCTATTTATTTGACTTTACTCAGGCCAGGGTGTTTGAACTGTATTGCGTACAATTAACTAAAATCCGAATATAACTGAAATCATCAGTGCCATTTGTATTTTGTAAGAAATAAAAACAGCAATCCTAAGTATGAATTTTAAAAATACCAATGTTTACACTGCCTGTAATTAATTGCTCAGGCAGGATGGGCAACTGAAAATAACTGGTTGCTGAAGAAATGAACTAGAAACATGATTAACTTCCTCTTCAGTAGATAGGAAGACAAGACAACGAACAGAACAAATTACCATTATAGATATCATCCCCTTTGCTTTCGTTTATCGTCACAGTGAGATCATCAGCAACAAATTCTATAACCCCATGAGGGTCGTCGTTTTTCAGAATCGTTATGTTGACAACTGTAGCACTTCCCAGCTTGCTTTCCCTTTCACCGTGGCTGCTGAGGACCACCCAGTAATGCTCATCCAGCTAAAAGGAACATGCCAGTGAGCAAAACGCATAGAAAATCTCACAAGTAAAACATGCATGTATTTGAGAGTATTAATACACTCAGCTTTTCAGAAACATACAACTCCTGAAAAGACAAAAGGGCTATTATTCCTAAAAAAATTTTTAACTTTCTCCTAACAATTACAATGTATCAGAGATAAGTGTACATTACCCAAAAAGGAAAAAGATGAACAATACACTTTTCTAAAGTAGCAAGATGTTAGGACCTTGTCTCTGACCAGATATAATGATACCGTATTGTATCTGCTTCCACTAATAGAAAACCTTAATTTGTTTCCTTTTAAAAAAGCAATTTTATGCAAAATTAGTTCACAGCTACACCATCAAAAATTCAGTCAATAAGGATCACATAAAAAAAGGTTGATCATAAATAAAATTTAACTGGCCTGGGGATATAGCTCAGTGGCATAAGCACCTGCCATGCAAGCACAAGGTCCTGAGTTCAATTCCTGGCAAAAACAAAAACTTTAACTGTTCACACATTCAAAGTTTCAGATTGTTTGCTTCATTCAGTTATTTCTTTTTGTAGGATAAAAATACACCCTTCTAATTAGAATGAATATTTGTTTTTTTAAGCTTCTATTTCTAATTTTCTGAACACAGGTACTTATTCCTTATGTCTTCTTGTCAGTGTTCAAAGTATTTATGCCGTGATATAACAGATACGGCATAAAGCACAACCAGCCACAAAGCACAAAGGAAAAGTAAAATTCAGTACCTCAGGTACACCATCCAGTCTTGAGAGCAGAGTGATCACTATTTCCCTTTCCCCGGATTTGAATTCCAGTATCCCCGTGTTTCCATAGAATTCATTGCTATCTCGTGGCTCTACTCGGTAGTACAGGAACTGCTTTACAAGAGCTCCCCGGGATCGAGTAATGTGCAGCTCCACAGATTCTCCTTCCTTAAAAAAAAAAGGTCCACAAAAATTCAAGTCTTTCTACATCGTTCTTCCAAAGTGGTGAACATGGAATGAAGTTTCGTACTTACCTGTATAAGATAGGGCCCTCTCGAAGCAGGAGAAAATTCAAAGACTCCTCCAGGATCATCATTTTCCAAAATAATTAGGTCACGACTAGTATACCCAGATTTCAGCACCTCGTTTTCTGTATTAACCCTGGAAGTTGGAGGCAAAAAAAAAAAAAAAAAAAAAAAAGGCACCTGTGAGCAAAAATCTTACTTCTGATATTTAATGCACCAAAGGCAATTTATGACTCTCCCAAGTAATTAAAAGAAGGGTGATTAGGAATTACACTTTAAAGTGAATTTACATGTAGTAAAGTCACTTAAGACCAAAACGGTTTTACTCATAACCTTATGGAAAAACTATTTTTGAATTCATTAGATCTTTTTCATTTCATGTAAATGAAATAAACGCTGCATGTGTAAGCCAATAATACAGTACCCCAAAGCTATAGATATTTATAGCATATCAAAACTTACAGATTTTATTCCAGTTTTACAAATATTTAGTTTGTAATATATGGTTAGAAAATACATTTAAACCAAACTTTTAATTTTACATTGAATTCATTTAAAAAATCTCATTCAATAAGATTATATTGACTGTCTAAAGTTATATACACACTAGGTAAGGTTACTGTACAGGCTATAGCAAACCACAATACAAAATAATTATTAGTTTTTAAAGTATACTTTGTGGCTTTCAAATGCCTTCTATATGTCTCAATTTTTAACCTCATACATTTTTTCTTTTAGCATTGAAGAAAATGTAAGACATATAGGAAAGAAGGAAAGAAAATGGATCTGTGATGCGTGACACACTGTAACAATTCCTAAATATATCTCAAAAGAACATAACAAATTTTTCTACAATTCCAACTTTTATGCTCAACGTAGAATTAAAATGATCAAAGATATTGTATGGCTCTGATGATTTTACACCCAGCAAGCTTTAAAGAATTTCCAATCCTGCAAGCAGGTCTATACATTTCCAGATGTGATTTCCTACAGAACAAAAAGTATTCATGATCAGATATCAAAATTATAATAAAACCACAATTAAAATGCAGGAATATGGAGAATAGTCAGGTCAGTTCCCACATAATAGACAACTAACATCATCTCTTACTTAGCTTTTGAAAACTTCACAACCAACACCTTGCATGCCAGGGACCAGAGATGACATAAATTAAATAGTAGGACAATTATTTATTATATTGCTAAATCTGTCATAATTTTCACAGCAAATCTGCCCGTATTTCTCTGATTGGTATCATCCCCACTTGCAGAAGATGACCCCATGGCAGCCTGCGTGCCAGGACCCATTCACAACATTCCAGCACAGAGCCTGCCAAGCCCCGTACCGGCTCTCAGACCGCACTATGCTAAAATTAAAATTTCCTGTTCACATTTAGCTTCTGTAGACATGAAAATGATCAAAATTCAGACCATACAAATCTACTATGACCATTAAACAAATGCACTAATTTTCAAACTTTCTTAAAATATGCTGCCCTTATGTAAAGTTCAAATTCTGCAAAGTTCTATGAATTTAACAGAGATGAAAGCAATAACTTGCTTAATAAATTGCTTAACTACATTCATAAAACGCCAGAAGAGTTTGTTGTTCTTTGTTAATTCTTCTTTGTCCAACATTCATAAAAGATTTCACAAATAAAGCACAATGATTGTTCTCTATGTGTAACCTATATGGAAAGTTATTTTTAAATTCTTCAAAATATTTGATAACTAATTCTCAAATATTTTACCAAACATTTTAAATGTATTCATATTTTAAAACTCTTAGGACAAGATCACTCCAAAACTTCATGTAAGTCACAGTTATCATTAGAAAACAAAGCTACACACAAGGCATGCACGGGCAGGTAGACAAGCGGAATTTCCCAAAACCTGTGATCATGCATCACAGCAGCCCGTCCCAAAACAATCACTCGCATAAAAAAAATGTCGGACCACCAAACACAAGCTATTGTTTTGTACACTTACCCAAAATACACGACAAACCTTTCAGTCTCCACCCTGTCAATACAGAGAGAACCGTGGGAGGGGGAAGGGGATGAAGGCACCCTTTGCCAAAAAGCTCACTAATACAGCTGGAAACTCGGTGTGGCAGGCTACAAACAAAGCTAAAGAAAGCCTTTCCTTTTTTTCCCAAGAGCCGCAGATTTTCATGTTATGGGAACTGGGCACATGGGGCCCTTTGCTATTGACAAATGCTCAGCGGTCCCCACTTGCGGAAGATGACCCCATGGCTGCGGGCATGCCAGGACCCATTCACAACATTCCAGCACGGAGCCTGCCAAGCCCGGTACCGGCTCTCAGACCGCAGCAGCTGAGCAAATTTCATTCAACACAGCTTATAATCATTTAGGGGCTTTAATTAGGTTTTTTAAAAAAATTTCAGCCTCAGATCTACAGCCAGTTATTCCCTGAGTTAGTAAAATCAAAACTCTGAAAGCACAGAAATCTGTGCCTTTCATTGTTTGCACACGAATGCATTCAAGAAGTTATAAAATAAAGCTTTAAACTACAACTTTGGCTGAATATATTTTCAAATTTCCAATTTATTTCACTTTCACATAAGCCTTGGGAACACCACGTCAAAATGTAGACTGTGAGTTTAATTTTTGCAGACAGATATATCATTAGAAATATAGGGTTATAATGGGCATCTGAGATGAATACGCACTTCTCAGATGAAGAAATACAAATGGCAAATAAATACATGAAAAAATGTTCATCATCATTGGTCATTAGAGAAATGCAAATTAAAACTACACTGAGATTCCATCTCACTCCTGAAAGAATGGCCAGGGTCAAGAAAACCAACAACAACAAATGCTGGAGAGGCTGTGGGGAAAAAGGAACTCTCCTGCACTGTTGGTGGGAGTGTAGACTGGTACAGCCTTTGTGGAGATCTGTCTGGAGGTTTCTCAAAAAGTTGGGATTGGAAATCCCATTTATTCCAGCTATTCCACTTCTAGGCATATTCCCAGAAGAACTGAAAGCATCATACCACAGTGATATATGTACACCTATGTTTATAGCAGCACAATTTGTAATCGCCCGCTCTTGGAAACAACCCAGGTGTCCATCAACTGAGGAATGGATAAAAAAGTTGTGGTATTTCTATACAATGGAGTATTACTCAGCTATAAAGAAGGATCACATTGAGATATTTATCTTTAAATGGGCACAGCTTGAGACCATACTCATAAGTGAAATAAATCAATCTCGCATGTGTGAATACCGAATAGTTTCCCTAATGTAAGTAATGATTTAAATATATAAAAGTATGTGGTAATCATGATTCCCCATTATGTGGCCTTGAAGCCTTATCAAGTTTTCACTTATTAATTGCAATGGCTTTATTCTAGGCTGCTTGATATGGAAATATTTGAAGCTACAGTATATGAAGTTATATTCAAATATTTCAAGGAAAGGAACACTATGGTAACTACTATTAAGTCGGGTTATTTGGTGGTGAAGCACTAGGTTGCTGAAACAGTCATGCTTTGACTGTATTGTTATGTTGTTATGTCCTCTTTTATCTCAATCTCTCCCTTACTCATTAAAAAATTATTTAGTTATTTTTTATGATTTTTTAATTAAGGAGAAAAATGAAAAATTAGCAGGATATAGTAACTTTTTTGATTTCCTATTAACTTGATTTGAAGTCCTGTAATAATCCCACTATCTTGTTTTGACTGATTAAACTCTTTATGATAGTATCAAGTTTGAGGGTATAGGCAACTACTTTGAAGGCAATAAGATTCACTATGATGTCCAGTCTGGTTTGACTATTATCTCCTTTGGAAATCCTGTAATGTTTACAATGTTTAGGTTTTATTGGTCTTGTTCTCTACTGTTTTGTTCAACTTTATAATACCTAATGAGATAGACAATTCTTTTTAAGGAAGCAAGAGGCACTATGGTAACCATTGTTGATAACCTTGTACTCTGTTTTTACATCATGTGCTATGTCTATCCTTGGTTTTGACTGACAGCTTTGTTTTTCCATATTTGACTTTATTCTCTTCCAAAAAAAAAAGTAATAAGAACTAAGGAGTAATAAAACCCAAAATGTGTAAATTTTGTTGTAAAAAAGAGAGGGGAAAAAAGTGCTCTAAAGGATACAACTGCAAGTGTGTTTAGGGGTGTTAAATAGATGACCATATTAATGTTTTTGGTTGGATCATTGAACACAAGTGTTTGAAGTCTCACTGTTTGAATGTCCACTTTGTATACTTTGATACTGTGACTTGAGCAACTATCTCTAAGATGATAATGTGTAATGTATTAACTGGTGATTTCTTACTGTTTTTTTTTTTTTTTGTAGTTCTGTATTACTTGTACCCTTACACTGCTTTGTTTTGTTTTGTTTTTTCTCTTTTTCCTTTTAAATAAAATTTTTAAAAAATCATTAACATCAATTAAAAACATAATTTTTCATTTTAAAAAAGAACATTCTAAACCTTTTAAGAGGGTGTGATACTAACAAAGTACACTTTCCCTGAGAAAGTCTACATAACTCGTTTATAACTCAAAAGTATCCTTCAAATCTGTGAAAGTTTTAGCTGTCTGAAAAAGATATTAGTCTTTAAATTCTATGCAAAAAATAATGAAGTTATTTTTTTCTTCTCAAGAGTGCTCTGAACACTCTTCCCTTTTAAAAATGAAGCCAGCATAGCTCTTTACTTAACCTAACATTTACCTTTTTGGATGTTTTCCTGCTTTCTTAAAATACTGTGATATACTGGCCATGCTTCAGATATAATTGAGTGTCCTCATAAATGCTATAAGTACTGCTCCTTCGTGACACGTAATAATATTCATGGTCTAACCAAAAGCCATCAATAAATAACAGAAAAGTCAGCATAACACTATGTATCTGATTTTTTAAATTTCATATAGCGAAAAGAATTAAAACAAAACCAAAATTACTTAAGAGAACTCAGACATATAAATGCTACTAAAGGACACCCAGAGGGAGTATTACCTGTCTAGAGAAAGTGTTACAGTTTCATTCATCTCTGGTACATCATCACCCTTGACAGTAATGTTGATTGTTGTGTCACTTTGCCCAGATAAAAACACAACAGAGCCATTAAAGGGGCCGATGTCATCCATGGTCACTGCTTGGGAATTAAAGCCGGAGGGCTTCAAACTCCAGTAGACAGTAGCCTGGCCGTCAGTCCCGTCCCGATGCAAAGGAATGCACACCTTATAAAAACCAAGCAAAAAAACAAATGCACAGAGCAGTTCTGCTAAAATATACGCTCAAAAACAATGTTTCACACTCAAAGCCTGCAGTATTATTAGGTGAATGTGTGGGCTCGTAAACTCTTAACATCAAAAACGCAACTGAAGAGACCCGCTCTAAGCCTGAAGATCACTGCAGACATATTACACTTTTTTAGTTTTGCTAATCAATTCTATCAATAAAGTCACCCCGCAAAAAAGTGTGTGAGACTTGGAAAGCCACAGAATCATGAAAAACAGAATAGTCTTGCTTAAAGAATAATTATTGCATCAGAGGTTCTCTGCAAAAAGAAACTATCAAAATGTAAAGTGAAAAATTAACTTTTATAATTAACAATGGCAAGTTATGTTTTATGAAATGCACCCTAAAGTAATAGGAGTAAAATAAGAAAATGTATCCAATACTATGCATGGAGTAAAATTAAAGTCAAATATTGTAGCATGGCTCCTGGTTTCACTGAGCAGGTTACTTAATATGACTTTGATTTCCTCATCTGTACTGAAGCTAATGATTCTCAATTTTGCAAGCTTAGAATTAGGATAAGAGATAGTTTAAATAAAGTTTCTAGAATAGTCACTTCATAATACATAATACTACTTGTTAAATTCTACTTGGAAGTTTTGTTCAAATGTACTTCACTATAAATACGTGTAATTTAAAAGGTTCACTGCTCATGATGAAGTATTTTCAACTAAACAAACACTTAATGGTAGATATGCTTTGTTTTATGTTCCTAAAATAGCCACCGCCCTTTTTCTTTGCCTTTTAACTCACTTCATTTTGGGACACACGCGCGTGCGTACACACACACACACACACACACATTTTCACCACTGATCAAAATGCTACTTTGACTGACCAGTCATGGCTGGAATCAGAGACCAGTGAGCAAAACAAGTTTCTTAGGGAAAACAAAAATCCTATGCCAGGGCTGGCCCCTACCCCACCTCAGGGAAGGTGTGCACTCAAAAACAGAAAAGGGAAACTCCTAGTGTAATGCAGTTTCCTAAGAGAGGAAAATGCTGATCTAAGGAGCCCCACTTTTCTAACTTCTCTCAAGGGAAAAGGCTGAAACAGTAACTATATAACTTTAGGAGTTAAATAAAAGCAACCTGCTCTTTAAGAACCAAACGCGCTTCAGTTTCTGAAGGAAACAGATTAAGAAATATGGAAAATCAAAACCATTCTGGAAAGTGAGTTTTCTCTGCCCATTTTCAGAGTCTACTATACAAAAAAACTGGACATGAGGCTTTGATAACACAACTCGCCTTGTTCCTGGTCTAAGTCTCAACCTAATTTGGATAAAACATGAGTGTGAGAGTCTCAGACAGATTGTGGCCCAAGCACTGGTAAGGCAGAAGGACAGAATAGTCCCTCGATAGGTGAAAGCTTGGAAAAAATTTCATCAAAAATTTATATGAATATGTTTTTAAAATTCCAAAGTTTCACAACTTTCCCACAATCATCCCCAGGCCAAGGCTGCCGCTGGAGTCCTGCCCAAGGCCAGTACTGTGAGCCCTGCAATGCAACAGGTCAAGAACACTTGTGTTACCACAGCCTGGCCATTAAAGAACTGATTTATGTTCAGCTCTCACTGTCAAATGTCATGGTACTATTTCAGAGGAGTCACATTTAGATATCTCACTCTTACCATGAACAATTAATTCTAATTTTATTGTATCGAATAAAGGAAAAATGATGGAAACATCTCACATTCTCTAGTGACTTTACCTTCAGTTGCATATCGAGGGTCTGCTGTAGATGGTGAAGCTTTTCAAGATCTGTTTACTTTGTACGTTAACCCTGTATTTTAAGAAACAGTGTGTGTACTGTGAAGTTAAATGTGATGGCTGACTTGCTAGGAGTAAGACTAGTTTGTGACAATGCTGATGGCCTAGCCCACGGATGAGCTCGCAGATGAGAGCAGTAATAGCAGGTGGAGCAGGTCACTGAGAACGGGCTTTGAAGGGGATACCTTTCCCTGGCTTTCCCCCTCCTTCTCCGCTTCCTGGCTGCCAGGATGTGAGCAGCTTTCTCTGCCAATGTCCTTCCACCATGACACCTCTGCCTTGCCACGGGCTCAAAAGTAATGGAGCCAGCTAACCATGGACTAAAACCTCTGAAACCATGAGCCAAAATAAATTATTGCCTCCTTTAAATTGTGTTATATTAGGCATTGTGTCCCAACCACAGAAAGCTGACTAGCACACTATCCAAACATATCAGATGCCATCAACAATAAAGAGCGTACTTACCACTTCAGCTGCAGAATCTTCTGGTTCATGTAAGATGATTGGAAGATTGCTAATAAAGCCGATTTCTCCGTTAGCAATGGCTGGAGTAACCGCTAAAGAAATATTTCGGATTTTCCCAAATCTAGGACTTATAGGTGGAATTGGAGGGAAAATGTTCACCAATACCACAGTGTCCAACTATAATAAACAAATAAAAACAATAAGAACAGATAGAATAAAATGCTTTTCATTTAAGAAAAACTGAGTAGCACTGGATGACTGTCAACACAGGGAAAGGCCACCAAGGACTTTGTTCTCCTCCTCCCTTCTTCACCTTTCCCTTTCAATCTGCTCTTCAATTATTAATATTATTACTATTACTAAGTCCAAAATAATGCACCCTTAATAACTGTATAGCCTACCCCTCTTCTATAAAGGTTTCCCTGAACTCTCCAGTCCTCTTCATCTTACTCTACTGGATCTCACAAAATGCAAAACTTATTATAAACTTTGCATACTGCTTGTGAATCTTCATCACCAGGTTTATGCTTCCTAACATGACTGCCAAACCCTTTGAGGGTTACAGCCTTCCCGGCATTCTCCCAGTACCTGGCCGAGACCTGATACTGCAGCAGCTACACGGTCAGCGTTTGTCAGTCCACCCTTCCAAACAAACCAGGCCATAGGAATCCTAGTGCATCACAAACCTCAGCCTCTCAGATACTTTAACTTTCCCAAAGCCAGTTTATCAGTACATTCAGTGTTATTAGAGGCATGTAGCAATGCAGATCATTACAGAACTGCAAAACCCAGAGCGAGTTTAAGTTGAAATGCAATGCACTTAATGAAATGTGATGGTTTGTGGAGCTCTCCCCAGGCTTTGTTATGCCGAAATGTTATCAGACAAAGTATAAAATTAACTCTAGAGGTAGTATTTTTTGAAAATTACAAGAGGTGTAATAACACATGGTTTATGAAACAAACTGATCAGAAATGCTGATTTCACACCAGCATGGCTTCTTTCCTAGTCGATAAGCTCCTTTTGGTTCCTTAAGCAGCTGCTAAGCAGGCTGTCCAAGCGCTCCACTCTCGTGTGAAGAATCATTCTGTGCTTTCAGTTTGTTTGCTATGGGACGGCATGCTGGCCTTCACAGACCTGCCAAGAGCTGAAGCCCAGACTGACGGATTTAGCTGAGCGCATGTCTCAGATTCTCCTTTCTTCACGCTCATTCAGCTTTCTGCAGTCTCACACTTCTCACTCTTAGGCTGCTCACCCACCACGCACTATACAAACCTCACAAGCTTTCTGCTTCTGCCCTGGTCTCCAGAGCCCACAGCTGTTTTAACCCCAAGGAATCATGTCAGTGACTAATAGGCTTTTTTATCCCCTGGTGTTACATTAACTGTCTGCACTGGGAGTCTTTTGTTTCTGAAATGAATGAGAGATACATAAAGAGCCAAGTCTGGAAGGAGCAGTGAAAACAATTTTCCAACCCGACATCATCAAAGCTCAGGCAGTGCATCCTTCCACAAGTTTCCCTGAGTTTTCAAGGGTCATCAAAAGCCAATTCAGTCATTTTTATATAGGCCAGTGAAGCAAAAAAATTATATTTGATGCTCACAAAGTTCTTAATGAAGGCTCCTTTATGTAAGAATTCTCCAAAGCTACTTTGAAAGAACTATTGGATATTTTCAAAACATTAAAAGTTGAAGGTTACAGATATTAGCATAGATATTGAGATCTCTATCCACAGTAAAACCTGGTTCTCAGGCAGCACAAGAAATCAGCCAGAATGGATATCTATAACTCCAAAACCATCTTTCTGCATCAATAATGCTCATTCATGTCACAGGACTGGAACTACTCCAGGTTTCCCAGGATGCCTAGAATTCATAGAAACAAAAGCACGGGGCATGTAACATAAATGCCTCATCCCATCTGTTTTAATGATTTGCCTTTCATATGTGGTGTAGCCTCTGTGAGAGCAGAGACAGAGCAGAGAACCGAACATGGCGAAGTGCGGGCAGATGACCTGAAGTGTGTGCTGAGGATATTGTTACAGTCCCCAGGACACTGGAAACAGAGAGGATAGCAAGACCACAGCATCAGCAGCAGAGCACGAGTTATACCCCAGAAACTCCTGAAAATTTGTGAAAAGTTACACTGGTATAAAAAAAAATGCCTTTCCACTTAACAGAACAACTTGAGAAACTGAATGAGTCATGGCATGTTTTTTGTATAAAGGTGAACTTAAAGTTGTTGCTTCCTTGTTTAAATGGATGTCAAAGCCTGTTCTGGTCATAGCACCAGTTATTTTAACTTCTAGCTCAGCAGGGCTCCAGGCCCAGGCTTGAACACCTGCTCTTTTCCCACCTTCCAGACTCAGATTCCCTGCCACCCGGATTCTCTGGCGTCTCACAAGAGCATTCCACAGGCCGAGGAGGAGAGGCCCGCAGCTGTGAGCAAAGCTGTGTTCTGTACACACATCAAGCCATGAGAAATCCCAGGGTCAGAGGTTATCATCAGAGGCAGAAATGCTCATTTGCTCATCGTACCCAAGTCCCTGCACTTGGAGGAGACATGAAATAATAATAACAACAACAATAATTATAAACATGAACACCAAGGTCTTCCACCGTCAGTGACACTAGGGACAGGGCAAAGGCCTCCCTCTGAACAGGCACATTACAAAAAGGCTACATCCTCACAAATCAGACATCCCTGCAACAATTCACCTGCTCTGCCCCATGGCCAAGAGTCTTCCTCGGAATGCACAGGGCACCAGGTATGACAGTGGTACAGTGCATGACAGTGACCTGGCTTCAGAAAGACAGGAGCTTCAGTGCAGCACACAGAACCCTTCCAAGGAGAAGCTCTGACAAGCTCCCGCAGATCAACAGTGGGTCACCTGAAGGCTGACCTGTTCTTCTCCCTTCACATTTTTCATCAGAACTCTAAAGGCTAAAAGGCAAAACCTTCCAAGTAATGTAGACACTATTTTCATCTAAGAATGTCAATCAAGCCAAATTATCAATGTGAGTATAAAATTTCACAGCTTAAGCAGCTCAAAGACCCAGCAAGATCTTGCACGCACCCTCTCTGCAGAGAGCGTGAATTTCAATAAATTAAAACATAGTTCAATAAGGTAAAGGCAGGAAATGAAGAAATTAATTAAATAAAGGAAGGAGGGTGGCAGTATGGAAAGGGGACAATTAGACACTCCAGAGAAAGCAGTAACAAAGTGTAAAACAAAATCTAGATAAAAATATGAAATACATTTAAATGTTCAAAAAAATTAATGGAATACTGTATTTCACTTAGTGTATACTTCAGGTCACAAAATGAACAGTGACATAAGACTTTATCTACTCATACTACCTGATTCTGTATAAATCTACTGGAATAATCAAAATTTGATAAGCAGCTTTTATTGCTTTATAATTTTCAAAACCAGCCAATATCAGCACATGGATAACATAAGATCTGCATGCAACTACCTTAAATTTTTAGTGAAAACAATGATTTGTTAATCAGAAGTGGAACAGTAGGAGGGAAGTGATGGAAGGGGAGCCTTAGGGGTCCTCATTTCTTCTTATGAATTAGTGAAAACTCCAGAGAGTCCATCAACAGTTAACATATAAAGAAATACATTCTTGAATGTATTATTTAAAAGAAAATTATTTTCTGATTGCGTTTTTAAAATTCTGAAAGGTGTTTCCTGTAGTACTGATTGTGAAAAACATTTATTCTATAATCCTCCTTCTTATTTTCCCAGTTTAACTCAAAAGAATGGTGACTCTCCCTCCTGTCCCCCTCTGTAAGAGTCTACTAAGGTACGCCATTATGTCACCCACTACAGTGTAAGTCACATCTCGCGTCTGCTTTATTTTTAATATCATCTGATAAAAGTACTAATTTTAGTGGAACCTTTGTCTGAGTCAAGATTATATATCTCAACAATGGCATAGTCTCTCTTTTGATTCCCTAAATAACTTTTAAATAATAAATAAAATCTAAAATATGAGAGCAAAGTCATACAGGAAATCTATGTGTACTTTGACCAAAACTGAGACGCTTTTAAACATTAAATTACCTGCACTAGGAAGTGGGCCCCATTTTGAAGGAATGCATCATTTCTTATGGGCAATTTTTTCGCAACTTGGGTCCTATGTTCCGGGAAGATGAGGCTGTTTCTCCTCGACACATTTAAGATGCCATCTTTCGCTCGGAAAGGGTCCACAGCCCCAGCCGGAATATAAAGTGCAGAATAAAGCATCTGCACATTTCCTTTAGTTCCTCCTAGTCTTGTGAGACTCAGGGATAAGTATCGTTCACCTCGACTGCTTTCAATCCTCTGGTTTTCCATAGGAAAAAATGTTATTAGTCCATAAACGTCATCACTATCCTGGATGTAGAACAGAAGCTGCAGATGAAAAATATATATTAAAATGTAGAATTCTCACATCTGAGATTATCAGACTACATTTTTTTGGGCTACTCTGATTTGCAATATTTATTTGTATATCATGTCAAAAGTGATCACTTCTCACATCTAACAGAGTTTAAAAAAAAAAAAACCAAAACCAAAACCAAAATTTGAACAATTTCCTAAATTATAATTTGTGAAACTTTTTAAAGAGTACAATTGTGAACTCTGGAGCATGGCACAAGGCCCCAGAGTGCATCTCCAACATCACACAGAAAGAGAAAGTGAAATATTTATTGCACAAGACACAGTGTTGTGTAAGAGAAGCAAGCTCCATGTTCAAAGCCAGTGTTCTGCATATCTCACTGAGCTACACATGGATTGGATCCTGTGACCAAATACCTTGGTTCTTCCACAGCAGAGACAAGGAGGTGGGAGAAAAGCAGAAGGGCTCTACCTCGGCGGGCTCGCTCACTTCGGCACCGCCTCGTATGGTGTGGGGCAGGATCCACAGTAGGTAAGCTTCGGCCTCCTCCGGGAGGTCATCGTCAATGACGGTCAGGGGAATGGAGGCCAACATCTGCCCAGGTGCGAAGTGCAGAACCCCGGCACTCGGCTGGATATCTTCTATCACCGGCGAGGGGTCGCTGCTATTCCGTGTCAGCACCCAGTTCACAGAGACATTGCCGTGGGTGCCACCATTTCTAACCACCGAGATCTCTTGGAGTCTAGAGCTGTGGAAAAGAACGGACGCTGTCACGTTCTACACACCACATTTCCCTCCCAGGGGCTCTCCTGGTGCCAACTCAGCCATCGGGCACTGGTGAAAGCAGAACCCATGACCAAAACCATGCTTCTTTTCAGTGGAAAGGAGATGTGTGGGTATCGCCTAAGGAACTACTGTAACAGCAATTCGTTTGCACATTGAAATCACACTCAAAATGCAAAGAACACAGTGAAGTCAAGGTAATAAAAATGACAGTTCAGCACTGTCTAGCTCCACAAAAGTTAAATCTTGTAATAATAAATAATTGTGGCAAAGGGCTTAACATGAATCATACCTTGATGTTGTATCTTCATCAATTATAACCGGCCTTTCAAACAACACACTGCTGAATGAGAGGACGCCATGAGGTTTGTCATTCGCCTTAATGGTGACTTGCACGACCGAAGGCCCGGTCAGCACTGCGTCTCCCAGTAAGCTGTCCTGCAGCAACGCGATGTGAAATGATTCGGCAATCTCTGGTGTGGCATCGTCAATGATTTGAAATTTCAGATGTGACTCATGAATAAAGGGTGGAAAGACAATAGTTGTGTTTGCCTGAAGATCAATGAAGTCTAAATTTTGCTGGGCATGTGCCGTTGAGTTCCCCGTGATAATTGTGTATCGAATGGAAACTTCATCTTCATCGGATCCAATCAGATTTCCATCGCTATCCTTTCCACGAATTACTGGAATTATAAGTATGTGGTCTTCCTCAGGTACCAAATAAATGCTCTGGAAGAATCTCACGGGACCATCATTTTTCTTAATGATGATCTCAACTGAATTCCTAGAGATGTTAATCTCAGCCCCTCCTTCTACACTTTTGAGTTGAATCAAAAATATCTCATCATTTTCTGGTACCTGTCGAAGGAATATAAACAGTGGTAAAACATCAACAGCCAGGAAGATCTGCAAAGAAACCAAAGTATAAAAACTTACTATGTTTCAAAAGAATTCTACAAATATAAAAAATCTTCAGCTGGAGGGAGCAAATAGAAAAAGCCTTATCTATTCTTCCCTTACTAAGATATTTTCCAAAGATAACCTATTTTAGAGAGGAATGGAAAAGTTAAATGACAAAAGTTGTGAAGAGTTAATAAACAGGTATGTCTTTCGATCTTAATCAGGCTTTACATGACCATGAAGAATATACCATAAAAATGGACATAAACCTTTATTAGCTTTGTCAGGCTGGTAGGGTTAGAAGTAATATTCAAACTGTAATAATATCTTTTCTCTTCTTCTAAAGTTCCTTGTGATTTGGTTATAAAGTTTTTATACAGTGGTTATAAATTCTGAATTACTCCTTGTTTTTACTTCACTGGAAATAGGTGGATTCTTTTACAAAATGGATTTCTCTCATTCCTGGTTGATATCCTTGAACGTTTTTATTCAGGGACATTCTTTCCTTGGCATTTACGCTAGCTGTGTCATAGATCTAAAATCTACCAACTTCCATCTGAAGTGTGCAAGTAAAATCCTTCCTATGACTGTGAATGTTTAAAATATGCAAACAAAAATATCAATCGCAACAGAATTTTCTTGCTTTTATAATAAAAAATGTTTATGATGGGTAAGTAAGCAGCACTTATACTCAGTTATGAAGTGACTAACAAAAGTTGAGTATCAGAGTTCACAAGAGGCTTACATCTTTGCACTGTATGTATGTTTTTAAGTTTTATTCCTGTTCATCATTTTTAAGTGCACATTTTTTGTGTCGATTGAACCTGTGACCTCGCATGTTAGGCAAAGATTCTACCACTGAGCTACATTCCCCCAGCTTGGATGTATGATTTAATGTAAATTAAGTCAGGTAATAATAATGAGTCCTATCCCTCAATAGCTAATAGCTGAAGTATGATTGGCCACCAAACACAGGACTAACTCTGTATTCCTGAATAGCTTCAAACATTAGCATATATTATATACATTCTTGAACAACACAGAATCTCTGTATCTTAACAATGAGTACTTAACAATGTCCCACCTCATCATCAAGTACTGTCAAGTTATAAACTACTGTGGCTCTGCCAGGGAGAAAGGTGATATTTCCACTAACTGGACTCAAATCTTCTTCCGGGGGGTTTGGGCCACCCTCCACCTGCAGAGAAATATGTGATGCCATCAATAAATACAAGGCATTTCACAAGACAGACAAAGCATTATTGCAGTGTCATGGACAAGAATCTGAAGTTTCCTTAAAGATGCTCTGGAGGAATTACACAAACCTATATCTAATTAACAGTGTCCTTAATGTAATTATGTTTCTTGACTAAAATTATGTCTTTAAGATCTTTATATTTTTTCAATCATTATATCAAATCTAAGAAGGGGAAGTCTATAAATATTTCTTCTTAGGTGGAAGGATATTCCCCTCAGAAAATGGGATCAGATACCAATCAGATAAACTGACCGTGTGACCCTTAAAAAGTTATTTAACAAGCTTATGCAGCATTTTGCTCATGTTTAAAATGAGCATAGGAAGTTTGATTTCACAGGCTGGATGTGAAGCTCTAATAAAATCACTCATTTCAAAAAATACTGAGTACCTTGTGCCTGGTCCTTTCCAGCTACTACTGAGAACAGAGCAGTGAACAAGGCAAATTTCATTCTCCTTGGGCCTTACAGTTAACAGAGGAGAATAAAAGATGAGCAAAGATAAGCATCTGTGCTAGATCATGGCAAATGTTACAGAGAAAAAAAATCTAAGATCATAAGGGAGCCCAAGTGCTGGGGAAAATTGCTTTTTACATGCGGCGCTGATCACTGTAGGGCACATGGAGCCATGAACATCCACAGACAGTGTTGCACAAATGCTACCAACAGTGGTTTAAACAAAACGAAGGCTAAGGACATTATAGATAAGTTGAAAATGCTGTAACTTTGATAGCATATCTTTCCCTTAACCAAATTATTTTCTCATTTTCTGCATACCTATTGGAAGTGTCTTCCAAAGTTCATTATCAAATGCATATTTCTAAGTATATGAGAAACTGCTTGAGGCTTCCTATAAAGAACTCACAAGAGTACTGTATATTTAGTTGGCTTTTACTACGTTTTTATGTTTCACCATCTTCTACTGGTAGTCATGTGCATAAATAGAGCTCTTCAATGTTACAGTAGAAGAATGTTACTAAAGTCCAAGAATTCACTCTTGCAATTAACAATTAAGATAGAAGCTGGTATAGGAGCTAATACACTGAGGCTTGAAAATAGCAAGGTTTGGATCTCACAAAGTAATAAAAAATAAAATGGAAACTGAGACTGAGCTCACTGAGCAGCAGTGTGTGACACGCTATTCAAGAAGCCATAACATGAATGTAGCAGGCTCCCAGGAAGTGTCCTGCACCTGGCCTCCCCTACCACACCATACCCATGGCCTCTGAGCAGAGGCAACTGGCGTTAACACAGTCCTGGAGTGTCTTGGGGGGAAAATAGGAAGACTATGTAGAAAATAATTTTATGCAAGCTTAAATAACCCATAAGTATTTTTTAAATCCTTGAAAATATTTATCATAGGAATTTTACAAAGTTCACAATTATTATTCTGAGATTTATTCCTACCCCACATCTAAAATACCCCATAAAACTAATACATGCAAGTAGCAAGGAAAATATGTTTATATTAACCATGAAATTTATCAGGAGGCAAAAGTATTTTTATTAAGTGTTCATTGTACAAAGAAACTTTATTTCCAAGTAAACTTACCTCAAAGGTGACAGTGACCTTCCCGTAGGTGCCCTTTTCCCTGATGAGAGTCACAGGCACAGACTCATTCCTGCCCCTGAGCTCCCTCACTGTGACTGATGGGGGCTGTCGGGAGGAGCAGAGACAGTTGGGGACTTAGCGACTGGAAGAGGAAGTGTCAAAAATCTGCATCTTAAATATGAAATTTCACACAGGGAAACGAATCTACACAGCACTATAAGAAAGTAGCATCTCTGGCATCAGTTCACTGTAGCTAATAAAAATAAGTGAAATTTTAAAAAAATGATATAGTAAAGGGATCATAAAACTAACCAGGCAAAGATGCAGGCTCTTGTTCTATCACCAAGTATCAGTCTTGGTGAGGAATCCTGGAGGTGATCTACCTGAAAGAAGGTAAACTCAATTCCTCGGGGGACCCTGCCGGGCCCAGGACTGAGGTAAACCCCCAGAGCGAGGCAGTGGCCCACTGGGACACACTGAGCCCTGCTTCCACTGCCCCCTCCCTCATCTCCAGTCAGCATGATGTTGGAAAATAACTGATAATGACTTTCAGGACACGAACACTGCCAGAAAAAAGTACTGTTTTGTTCAATTTTATTATAACTGATGATATAGGCAATTCTTTTTAAGATAACAAGAGGCAGTATGGTAACCATTGTTGATCACCTTGTATTTTGTTTTTACATTATGTATTATGTCCATCCTTTTGATTTGATTGACTCTGTCCTGGTATGTCACATTTGGTTTTACTTTCTTAAAAAAAAAAAAAAAAGTAATAAGAACTGTGAGAGTAATAAAACCCAAAATGTGTAATTGTCATTGTAAAGAAAGGAAAAGAAAGTTCTCTAAAAGATATAACTGCATATATACTTAAGTGTATAAGATAGATAACCATATTACTGAGTTTTGTTGGATCATTGAACAAAACTGTTTGCAGTCTCACTGTTTGAAAGTCCACTTTATATGCTTTAATTTTGTAACTTCAACAACTATTTCTAAGATGACAATATGTAATTAACTAGTGATTTCCTACTGTTTATTTTTTCTGAAATTCTGTATAACTTGTACCCTTTTTCTGGTTTTTTTTTTTCTCCTTAAATAAAACTAAAAAAAAAATATATATATATATGTATACTGACTTGGCTGAAGGGAGTCCAGCGCAGATGGGGAGGTGGTAAGAAGCACGAAGCAGGAGCCACCTCTCGGGGTGACAGTAAGTCTCAGTACCTCAGCTACAGATAGATCCAGGGACACTGGTTCCAAAGGGCTTGATGAGATTCGAATCTTGTTACATATCTCGAGTGCTTACCTAGACCCTAACACACACTGAGGACCCCTTAATACTGGCTGCTATGGGTGCCATCAAAGCCATCAATGTCATGTTCATAATTAATATAATCATCATCCATGCTGGAAACTTAAGTCTGACCCTGAGCACATTTCCAGGTATGGGACCCCGCTTGCAGCCTGGCAGCATTGAAAGCCCACCAGTCAAGACCCAGGATTTATGCCACAGTCTAGGACTCCCTCTTATAGACAAGGGGTATAAAGTGGGGTACAGGGAGCACTGAGGAGAGGCGAGCAGAGGACAAACTTTAAACAAATCAACATGAAGCTGGAGGTAACAAGTGCAGAGTGAAAGCAGAATGAAAAAAAAAAATCACAAAAGCCCGTTTCATAACAATTACCTCTTACTCACATAAAAATGATTGGTTAGTTTCATTAATGTTTGTGACAATGGAATTCAGGTTCCTAAATATCTACTTACTAAACTGAGGTCATCAAACACTGTTTGCAATGAAGATAATGCAACTATAAAGACCATATAACTCACTGTAATTCAAAGACATGGAACTAAGAAAATGACACACAAAACAATCAACTGGAGCAGTGATCTAAACTGGAAAATAAATAAAAAGCTGGCATCATGTCTTAAAATGATATTTCATAATACAATTTCAAAAAACTATCCCGGTTACTGTGGCCTAAAACTTAGTGACAAATTAAATTGTACTAGATATAAATGTTTTATTTTAAGAGCTGAAACAGTTCTCTCAAGGAGAGATCCATCTTCCATCTTTGTTTCAAACCCTAAAATCCTCTGAACATGAGACGGTCAGATGCACAGGACAGGACTTTGGTATTAAGCAAGAAAAAGTAAAGCACAGTTGGGGCTGAGGGTCAATGAAGTTCACAAAACATGAATCAGTGGGAAATTTTTAGGGTGTGCACTGACTATAGAGCTCTGTAGAGCTGTAACAGCTGCTATTTGATTTTAAGCACTGCAGATGTTTCCATATTCTGTCAGTGTGTTCTCTCATCTCATGGTCACTCCAATCATTCAGCAGGGTCTAATAAGCAGACAATGCTTCCTTTAAGCGGTATTTGAAGGATTCCAACAAAAGCCACTGGGTACACATTAGAGACACAAAAATAAGGGGAAAATGAGTCAGAGGAAATGATCGTAGAAAGTAATTATGAAGAGGGATGACCAGGACCATAGAAGCTTCTTCAATTTGCAAAAATTTCAGGTAAAAAAAAAAAAAATGGAACGTCTACAGCATGTGGGGTAGGCTGGGGTTAATGCAAGTTTTATTAAAATAGCAAAAGGCAGGATGACATGATCTAACCTGAAAAACAATAAAAAAATTAGTGTACTTGGGGCTGGGGATTTAGCTCAGCGGCATAAGCACTTGCCTTGTAAGCAGGCGGTCGTGAGTTCGATCCCTGGTACCGGTAAAAATGAAAAAGACAAAAAAAAAAAAAAAATTAGTGTACTACAAACTACCAATTGTGAGACTCATCAAATTGTAACCATACCATATTAAATGAAATAACTCCAAACGCGTTGTCATTTGACAATATTGTTACAGTAACAGTCCTTGGCCACCCAAGCTTCACATTTGCCGACGGTTTCTAAAATAGAAGCCCAAAAATAAAATAATAAAGTAAACAGTAGAATAAGAATAATAACTCTAATAAAATTTGTATTCAAGTAATTATTTAGACTATAAATAAAAATACTGTCTCAATACACAAATTAAGAAAACATTCAAATTAAACAACATCTTAAATCTCAAATGAGAATTTTTTAAACTGCAAAACCATCACTTTTAGTAATATATAATTATATACTAAAAACTGATTAGTAATATTATAAATATAAATTATGTTACAATTACTGCAATGTCCTCACTAATCTACTAAATTAAATGTACAATATAAAAGTCTATTAAATGTGATTTTTACATGATAGAATGTGCTGTATTTAAAAATTAGTTATTTTATCAATCAGAGAGCCAAGTGAAAGATAAAATATTAAGCCATTTTTTTCATAAAACTAGAGTTTTCTACAACGTTTCTGTTGACACTCCACAGCAGCAGAAAAGAATATGAAAAAAAGCACACAACTGTTTCATGTTCACGAAAGTTTCAATTATTCTTTAAAATATTCCCAACGCCCGTCAGAAACATGAGCCACACTGGAGCTAGTAGTCATCTCTTCCACTTAACAGACCAAGCCACCAAGTTCAGTGACATCTCAGCTATTCAAGGGGCCCTCTGGGTTCATTCTAAGGCACAGGACCTCCCACTTCCATGCCTGCTTTTTTTGTATCCTCCTCCTTTGAACTCCAAAGTCATGGTCACTTTCTGTGCATCTGCGAGGGGAGGAGGAATTATAGAAAAAAGGGCCAAAGAGAGGACGATGGGGTTCTCCTGGTAATTCCCAGCAAGCTGAGGGCACCCAGCCCAGCTACAGGAGCTCCTAAATAGACAGCAGGACTCCAGGCCAGGTTCTGGTGTTCATGAAAACCACTACCAGTCACCTGAGTGGCTCATCTCTGGATAAACACAAGAGTTTAAGACCAAGGGGGAAGAAGGACCTACCTGTAATGTTAAGTGAAAAGTAAAAGTCTCATCGGGCTCCGGGAGGTCATCGTCACACACGGCTATGTACACCGTCCTGTTTGTTTCCCCAGCAGGGATAAAGGCTGCAGCGTAGGTGTCCAAAAAGTCGCCAGTGTCTTCCCCATGCAGCTATCAAATGCAAAACAGAGGTGGTCTTCTTATTAACACAGAGTTAAGACAAGCAAAAGTGACACTAACTGGAGCAATGGAAAGAAAAGACAAGGACCAAGTAGCACTGAGATTGACAGTATAGACAAAAACAACCATTTCACAACTGGCAAAAGTCACCTTCAGAAAGCAAAAGGAATAAATGATGCCACATAAAAGTATTTCTTTATATAATGGGGGGAAGAAATAATTACACGGGAAACTAATAATTGCATAGAAAAGTCACGTGGCAGCTTGTTTCCTCTGTCTGTTGGCTGACTGGAGTGGACCACAGTGATCCTACCAACATGGCAAACTGGTAGCCAGAACTCCCAGAGAAGAGATGGACGCAGCCTGCCAGCTGACAAGGAAACCAATCCCTCCTCCAATTAGTTTCAAAGCAGCTCTTTCCAAAACTCTCCTCCTGAAGTCGTATTTATGTTGTCCCACAGCAATCCCAATTAAGACCCAGTTCTTTCTGCATCCTAAACTTCTTAGTGATGATAAACTTTTCTTAATTATTTTAAGATTCTATACTATAAAATCAGCATTGCCAATAACATTCTCAGGGTTAAAAAATTATGAAGTAATTTATTGTGCAAATACAAATGAGGTATCTTTCACTTAAGAACTCAAAATGAGTAATTAAGCCAATATAAATATTATAAGAAATAAAATATATAATATATAGCTAATCATCTGATTTAGTACAAAAATGAATAAAATATATAAGGAAATTTTAGTAAACTTCTGCTTCTAATTTATAGAAATAAATTGTTTTAAATACTTTAAAAATCTAAATAAATTGTTTAGAGTACTGGAAAACTTATTCTTACATATTGCTGAAGAAAATGGCACATTATGAAGGGCCACGATAATAAACAGAAATACAGAAATGAGGCTATACAAATCATTTGACAATACAAAATGCACATGCATATAAACAGTGTCATCAGAATAATATTCATAACTGCCACTGGAACCTCCGTGAGAGCAATGGAGGGTAAGAAAACATGATGGTTACCATCAAGAGAAGTGAAAATAATAAATAGCTATTAGGATACAATCAAAATAATATTAACATATTATCAAACAAGATGTATATTCAAGCCAAAGTTCAATAAATAAATACCTATATACCGTAAATAAAAGCTAAAAGCAATGTACAAAATTGTGACACAGTTGACTTCATAAGTAGCTTTCCTTCTTTTTCTGCTTCTACAGTATTTTGTATTAGAGCAATTTACCCTATTGCTGAAATTTTTATTTTTGGAAACAAAACTTCAAGTCTTTGAGCCACAAAAGAAACAGTATCCTCAGTGGTTGGATGACTATTTTCTAATCAAAAACAGAGACTTCTATGCACACCACACACAATCCAGTCAAAAGTTAAACTGAATGCAAGGTAAATCAATAGCTTAACAAATTCTACTTAACTATCTTAAGTTACTATACTCTGTACAAGAACTCTCTAACAGACATTAGAGTTCTGTTTTCACTGGTGTGTTTCTTTGAAACATTCATTTAAAATACACAATCCACCACAGAGGTACGGTCATTTCTTACCGATACGAGCGCGGTGACATTTGCTGGCTCCCCTATTCTTTGAATGACAAGGCGGATAACTGTTGTACTTGTTTCATTAACAACAAATTGTGTTTGTCCAGCAAATCTTATTTCTGTTTCTCCAAATATGACAGGGATGAGAAAGGCTGAGAGGAGATTTACCAAGAAAGATGTAGAGAGCATCCCTAAAAGAAAAAGAAAAAAATCCTACATTAGAGCTACTACATTTTCTTTAGATTCTTGTGTCCACAGGCATAATCGAGTGCATTATTAGACAGTACACAACAAAGACACCAATACATCAAATAGTAAGATACCCAATTCAGAAGTAAAGGTAAAACCTTTACCTCTTCTCTTCCTAAGGTTCTCCTCTTACTATTCAGACTGTGCTGCCTTTTTTTTTTAGCACCTAAGTCAAAATACTCCTAAGCTAAAGATTATTAGTTTACATAAAAACTTACTGACACTTACATGTTAGTCTAACAAAACCATGGAAAAGTTGAGAAAATCTACTTTCCTCAGATGAAATGGTTTGGCTTAGCCAAAACTAAAACTGTTGATGCTTTAACAACAAATTGATTTCTCAGTTGCTGCTAATTTTTTCTTCAATTTTGTCTTGAGATTTTTAAAATATTTTACTTACTGAAAGGAATTGCTCATCTTTTCAAAGAAGAAATAAATTTTGAAAACTTAAATTCTTCTACTTTATTAGTTAAAATGCTAATATCACTTCTTAGAAAATGTCCGCATTGCTTTAAAATAAGCAAATGGAGCAAACAGGCAGAGTGTGTATTAGCTTTTCTCTGTAAGCCTACGGCTTTCTTCCCACAGCATGTGTGTTCCTGAGGCATGAATATTATTCTGACCATTAGTGCTGTGTGACTCAAGGGCTTTCAAGAGTACAGCACCACAGTGGCCTCTTGAAAGCACTACTGTTTTGTGATGTAGATGCCCCTCTGAACATGTGGACGATTTATCTCATGGGTCATTAAGATTCCAATAGGTCTATGTGAGCAGTCACACGAACATAATAAGTTCACACATTTTAGAGGAGGGTGACACTACGTACTCTGAGAGTCAAAATGCTCCCTATTAATCTTTACCTTGGCCAAGGAGTGATAAAATTTTCATGCATGTGGTATTTCTGCATGACTACACATAGTTTCATACTTAGGAATCACCAAATACATGAATTCTTGAAACATTTTAGGGTTTAAGTGTAGTGTTCTTAGTCAGCTACATTCAGACAATCCCTGTGAGACAGATCAATGAGCTCTCACACACTTTCAACTGCAAAACCCACTGATGGAGAGACGCAGAGTTCGGAAGCAGCCTTGGGATGGGAGCCCCTGGGACCAGGACATGTCTGGGACCTCTCTCTTCTCTCCAAGCAAACTTGCCTTAAGTCTAGGGACTTGGGAAAAGAAATAAAACAATTCTCTTTCACCAGGTAAAAAATTATGTCCTCTTTTCTAAATCAGGAATCTTCAAGGAAAAATCAAGAGTACTGGGAGGAAAAAAGCAAAGCATGGCTGAGAAAAGCTTCCCCATGATTCCTGCGGGTAAGACTGGGTCTGAGTTGAACCACAGCCATGTGGGAAAGATCTGTGCAAGTCTAAAGTAGAATGATTTCACACTCCACTTAGAACAAGTAGTGGGCAAGAAATACCTGGTGGTTATGAAAAAGACAATGGAATGAAGGGACCATAAGGTAGTAACTTAAAACTTGGTACTGAGATTCTGAAAGAAAAATCTCAAACCCTTGCACAGATGTAATAGATAGAACTGGAGCAAATTAAGACATCTGACATTCAAAGTGAGAAAGAATGAACGTGAGATTAGAGCATGTGATGGAACCCCAAATAGCTGTGCAGTTCCCAAAATCTTCCCTGCCCTGCATAAGAACCAGACAGTTGTTTAAACACTGCTTGCCATTCACAGAAATTCTGTTGGGTGGGTCTCAGCTGGGGCCCAGGAACATGTATTTCGTAAGCATGACTGTCCATTCTGTTTCAGCTCAGCCTCAGGTTGCACTCAGAAATCTCACCTGCTGTGGGGAGGAGCGTGTCCTCAGGCGCACATACCAAAGGCCACATGTGTAGTTTTGACTGCTGAGTTTTTCTATGCTACAAATGTGAACTGAATACAGACCTCATATGCTTTTCTAGCAATTCTGATGTTGAATTTTAATACTTCACACATCTTACAGAACCACTGTAAAGACTCACAGAAAGTACTTCTCAGAGTAAATGCTTTTATAGTTCCATTTCAGGTACTTCACACATATGAAGTATGTCATCCCAACAACATCTCTGTGAAGGTCAGAGCATCACGGACCATCTGTAAAGACAGATGTGAGGACCAAGCCAAAGACAGGTTAGCTAACCTGCATGGCCATCCCACTAAACAGTAGCGAAGCTGATTTAACCCTGGAGTCCACGAGCAGGCCTCCCACCCCAAAACCCCACTACTCTGCCTTTTATACTTGATTCTTACAAATCTCTAGCTTGGAAAACATGGTAGATTCTTTATACACATGTATCCCAGAATGCAAATACTATAAATTCATGCACCGTAACCAGAGCTGCCATAGAACTCAATTCCAAGTCTTGTAAAGATTTGTACTTTATTATTCTGATAAATATTACATGTGTTTAAATGAACCTACCATTCCCTTGACTAAATATCTAACTACATCTTTTAATGTCAGGACCGGTGAACTCAAGCGCTGCATTCTTGCCACTTTCCAGGCAATTAGAGCTCTAAGAACTTGTGTTTATGTCAGTAAATTCATTTTAAATTGCCCCACATTAGTAAGTTTTGAGACTATACAAAATGAGCAAGCAGGGGCTAGGGATTTAGCTCAGTGGCATAAGCACCTGCCTGGCAAGCGTGAGGTCGTGAGTTCAATCCCCTGGTACCAAAGAGAGAGAGAGAAAGAGAGAGAGAGAGAGAGAGAGAGAGAGCAAGCAAACATGATGGAAATGTGTTAAGCTGTGTGACATCATTGCTAAACGCATCTCCTTTGCTGAGGCAATGCTGGCACCGAGGAGAAACCAATGAAAAACAACTTTGAAAATTAGTTTTCCATTAGAAAACAGCCATAATTACACAAAATCTTTTTTTTAAAGGCTCTTTTTTAAGGTACACTTGCTCTTGTCTAAAATGTGGTGTTTGGAACTTCCTTTATTTTTTGTTAAACTCAGAAAACAAAGCACTGGCAATTCACACAATTACTAACATCACTAATGTTTCACATTTTTCTTTTCTTTCAGTAATTATCTTTCCTTCCTTATCAGTCCATGTTTACGGTATGTCACGATTACATGGATCCTGTTGAGTTGATTCATGGACACAGTTCATTTTTTATTATCGCTTTCCCTCTTTTCCCTGCTTCATTTCCTTTCTTTTCAAAATCCCCTTTTCTTTTACAAAAGCTCAATCTTCCTATTTGCTATTATCAATCTTTTATTTTGCTTTTTTTTAATTTAAAAAAAGATTACGATAAAAGAGGACACAACAACACAGGTCAGCACAGAACAATTTAAGCAACATAGTGTTTCACCACACAAGACAACCCAACATAACAGTAGTTACCATAGTGTCTCTTCCCTTGAAATATTTGAGTATACCTTCATATACTATAGTATCAAATGTAAAAAGACAGTGTAAAACCATTCAGGAGAATGAAAGTATTACAGGGTATTCAGAATCAACTAACAGAAAATGAACAAAAGTTACTGTATTATCTCCTTGTCTATAAAATATTTTGTTTATACTATCACACATAATAAAATCCAGTAAGATACAACATGATAAAACCGATGGAGACAGAAGAACAAAAGCTTGGTGGGACTTCAAGACAAGATGATATTAAATCAGCACTAGCTATTATAATGTCTTGTTTTCTTCAAAACAGCTGTTCATACCATCACAGACAATAAAATCAAACAACCCAGAATAAAACCGTTCCAACTAATGAATGAGAACACTGTAAGGTTTCAAAGCAATATAATGGGGAATTATGATTACCACATACTTTTATGTATTCTTACCATTTCTTACACTAGGAAAACTATTCGTTATTTATACATGTGAGTTTGATTTATTTCACTTATGAGTATGGTCTCAAGCTGCACCCATTTATTTATAAATATCTCAATGTGATCATTCTTTATAGCTGAGTAGTACTCCATTATATAAAAATACCACAGCTTTTTAAACCATTCCTCAGTTGATTGCCACTTAGGTTGTTCCTAAGATCTGACTATTACAAATTGTGGTGTTATAAACATGGGTGCACATATATCACTGTGGTATGATGTTTTCAGTTCTTCTGAGAAGATGCTTAGAAGTGGAATAGCTGGAACAAATGGGACTTCCAATCCCAGCTTTTTGAGAAACCTCCATTATATTTTTCATTTCTCATATTCACATTTCTTTTCCTCTTATTACATTTAATAAAAATTTTACATGCTACATGAGATCACTGTTTTTAAATACTACAAGATGAATTTTAGACAAATTTTTACTGGTCATAATTTTCCTGTTATATCACAATGGTGAAACAAGATAGTTTAGCATCACTGAAATCCACTCCTCTCTAAGGGCACAGTACTACAATATTCAGATCCTCTCGTTTCCAACCAACACCCATGTTCTTCCCAACTTCCTATTTTTGCTCAGTGTAATTCACAGGAAATTAAAAGTTCTCCTGCCAATAGATCTCTTGTCTCTTAATAGATGTCTTATCATGTTAAGATGATACGTGATTCAGGTTACTTTCCTGAATTAGACTAGAAGTTTTTATTGTCTTAATAATGCACAAATATAAATTCTTAGATTCCTGAATTCCAGGGATCATATTAAGTCTATCCAACAAATCACCTAATTCTTCCAAGAAAAAAAATTCAGAATTAAAATGTGGAATAGGTTAGAGTAGCTCTTCAAGTACAAACTGATTGCTGAAAGGCGGCTCTCAGCTTGGTATAATCTGCATATAGGCATCTGCATATAGACTGTGTAGTATTCTGTGCCTGTCGCTGAGAACACCCACTTAAGACATGAACTTTGGTGCCAAGACACTTGTGGGGACAAGTACAGGACTCAGAGGAGGAAATTCAAAGCCAGGAAGACACAATCCTGAGACTTTGTTCTATACAGGGGGATGCAGTGTCTCTACCAT